ACCCTCGAAGTCGGTCGCATTGAGATCCCATTTATTGAGCTCCAACAGGGCAGTTAATATCTCCGTGACCCCGAGGGATGCCGCACAATGAAGGCCTGAAAACCCCGTGGGATCGCCTCCTTGATTAAAGGGCGGTCCTGGTCCGTCTTTATCGTGTAATAAGAGTAGCTTAGAGGATATGTGCTTATCATATCCTTCAAGTAACCTCAACGCAAGCGGTATCACCCTTTCGGTGGTTTCCCTTCCAGCGTGTGCTCCCCAGTAACAAGAAGCATATTCGACGAGGGGGGTTTTTGGTGGTGGCGAGGAGAGGGTAGGCGAAAGGTCCCTTACTTCCCGGAAATTGAGGTAGGTCAGGCAAGTCTCGGCAATCATTGAGTGCGGACTATAGAATAGAGTAAGGTTGTAGGCGAGGTGCCCTTGGAGAGTAGGATGGATGAGGCGGACAGTGGATGCAGGCACCTCTACCTTGATAAACCCTAGAGCGCATCCTAGCACAGTTTCTATGGCAGGAATATTCCCAGTATCCGGACGTGTGGATCCTCGTTCTATTCCTAGCGCGTAGCATAACTCGTTGACATGCAACGGCCGCTCCGAATGCGATACCCACATTAAAGCCTCGACGCCGAGTTCTGATTTACTTCCCTTCTGCGCCTTTATCCGTTCCAGGGTTGGTGTGTACGCATCATTAAGATCCTCCCCTTTTAATATTGCGCAGAGTTTTTTCCTCCTCAGACCGATCGTTGCCTGCTCCAGGATTGTGTGCACAGCCAGGCTAACAAGGAGTATTCTACATACCATCGTTAGCAGATGGCCTCTGATTGTTTGGGAGACGTTCGGTTTCCCTACTCACATTGGAGAACATGTTTCCCGAATCAGCTTTAAAATATCCGCCCGTAAGGGACCATCCATTGCCTCGGGCTGCGGGTCCTGTTGCAGCTTCATCGTCAAATATCTTTCAATGTCATCCTCGGTAGAGGTGATGGATACCATGACGGCCCCGGGGAAACCTTCCTTGACCGCACCCATGACATGAGCCCTTCCGGTAAGGAACACTCGTGTGTTTGGCGACTCCCGAACAATGGCTTGGAGTGACGCAAGAAGCTTTGACAGATGCTTGGGGCGGACTTCGTCCAAGGCATCGATGCATATAAAAACACGTGGTATTAACTCGATAGTGGTCTTCAGCATGCTCACTAGATCGCGGCGTCGTGGACCTCTACTTCCGGACTCCCCCTTCGCCTTCTGAAAAGCCTGCAGTACATTCTCTGGAACTTCTCTTTCCCCTAAAAGCTGCTTCAAGATGGCACCTAATATGTTTAGGGTGGACTGCTCCGCCTGGTTCTGGAAGTCGTAGTAAATTCCGGCGACTGCGGCATCGTCTGTCCGAGCCTGACTGCGGAGGCTGTCAATCAC